TAGTATTTAGAAAAGTGCATTTATAATCTATAGAATATAATAAGGGTAAATTGTTGCCTAAATTTCTTTATTAGGGATATCTTTAGGTAATAAAATTAATTCAACTAATATACTGTTATCTAGCATAGAGCTTCAGTGGAAATTTGAGTCATTTAGCTAGCTTTAATTTGGTCTAAAAATTTTGTCTGACAATGTAGATTCCTTTTTGGCTGTTATCGAGTGAGGAATGATTGAATCTTGCATTAAGACAGAACACGGAGCTTCACTAAGGTTTTGACGTTAGTCGGAAATAGATCTGAATTTTGACGTCAAGATTCTATCAACACAAACATTCACCCATAGAAATTCCATTGCAAGTCTAGTAAGAATCCCGTAAGATGAGTATTTTAATTGGGTTAAAAATATTTAATTAAGAAATACAAAATATGTTTAAAAAAATAATAAAACATTTCCTATCTAATATTTCGTAAAGTGACCAATAATTGACTCTTTTATTTAAAATGTCATTCATTTTATTTTTCTGTTTAAAACATATCTTTAACTCAAACTTATCTTTGTTGTTGTTGTCGTGAGAAATTTAAGAAAAGGGGGGGGGTGCTTGTTCTTGTTTTCCTGTGGCGCCATCTATGACCTAGAATTCAACTTTTGCCACACCCATCCGTCACACCCGTTTATAGGGTGAACCCATTCATTCATCTACAGATCATAATTTTGACCTGAACCAGCGAGCGATTAATCTCCAATTCAGTTCTCCAGAGATATTATTTATTATGGGAACATGGAGAACTTTGTGACGAGCACCAGTCACCATGTACTACACGGGGAGTCTTCGGCCGGCTGGATTCGAACTCCCATTCACACGAACATGAGACCAGCATCATGCCAACCAGGTTATCTCGTCCCCAAATCAATGGGCTATTACACATGAGTTAAAATCAATCCGCAAGAAATGGGAGGAGTGCAGAGAAAAAGAGAAGTGTAATGATAGAAGACCTATACTTTATTTGGGAGTAAAGAGGAATGTGTGCAATTTTCATACACTTGGGGCCTTTTCCTTGAAAGTTAATCGTCCAGAAATGGTGAACATACATTAGACAGTATCGCCTACTTTCTTTTCCAATCTTTAATCAGCAGTACGAACAGTTTGCAGATGGTAATTAAGTTCTTAAGTTTAGCGGAGAGCAACGAGAATTAAATGTCTATTTATGTCCGCAACTTCGAACAACAACGAAATTCAGAAAATGTTAGAGAATTCTCCTTCCTTTAGTCACTTACAATCAAAAGGATACTCTGAAACATCGTAACTGTATTATAGTTGTGGCAATCAGAGTGAGTCCTACAGAATCATGGCAATTGGAATTTTCTTTATTTAAAATTTGATAATATATTTTCTAAAATTATGTTAATTAGGTTATATTATAAATTAATGACAGTACCTCAGTGGCCCTAAGACTCTACAGCATATGAAGAAATGGAGTGCGGGCGCGGACTTCGAATCTCCTCTCAGTCAAAGTCTAAAAATGAGGTTATGCCCTGAGGAAAAGGAAATGACTATAAGGATGATCCTAGACTCGGGAGCATACCACCCAAACGAGAATTCCATAATAACCTTAGATTTAATGATCGGATTTACCCATATTCAATGGTTTGAAGGTCTAACTTATTCTTAACTTATTACAATCTAAATTTTTTTTTTTGACAACCGGACTGTGTAGGAGTCAGGGAACAGGACTTGCATTAAAAAGGTTCTGGGTTCGATTTCCGGGCAAGGCATGGATGTTCTTTCATTCTCTTTACTGTACGTCCTCACTGTGGGAGCAACGTTGCCCCTGCAAGATTAGCAAACTTATCTGCCTCTCAGATATCTGTATTAACGAAAGGTTATTCCCTTGGAGGAAAAAAAAGTGTTTTTTGTTTATATTTTTTACTTATGTTTTCCTTGAAATGTCATCGATTAAGCCAAATGGACCATTGTCTCTTTAAAAAAAATGATAGTCACTTATTTTCAATTAAATATCAAAAACACAAATTAAAACTTTACTAGCATACCTACCAAAAATTAAATACAATAAATTTTATTTAAAAATTAAAAGAATCCGTTATTAACGAGAGCACTCTTAAATTAAAGTTTTCTGGGAAATTTACTAGGCGTGGGAAGTATGAATGTGCTTAAAATATTCACTCTAGAGGTGGCCAAAGCTGCTGCTTTTCTGTCACTGTTATTTGTTACATCTTACGGCTACTGAGGCTCAAATGCAAGAGTGACAAGTAGCAGTAACTGTGACAGATAAAAATCGATATAAATTTAATCGATATTAGAATAATTGGATTAATCGTTGATAATTATAGACCTTTTGTTGCAAATAATCAATAACATTTAATGGATATAATTAAATTTTAAGTGATATAATTAGGTTTTAAATAAAACTGATCAGTATAAATAAGTTTTTATAGAATTAGTTCATGGGATTAATTAGCATAATTACCCGTAATATTCACAGTAATAATAATTAATTAATTCTTAATGCTCTTCAATGACTGATATGCGACCTTATTTAATTCTTGGAATGTATTAAAATAACCAAAGAAGGATTTTATTTCAGATACAAAGTTAAATTAATCAAAATAATATAAAATTAAATCAATAAAAATTAATTAAACATTATTAGAATAAAAATTCAATCCCAAAGTTTAGGCGATTTTTTCGCTCTTAAAAACCGTCTTTGATTACATCAATTAAATTTATTGTAGCACTGTTGAGAAAATTAAAAGGTTTTCGATATTTTATTTCTGAGAATAATGATTGCGTAGATAAATAAATTTTCAGTAAAGTTGTTGGATAAAAGATAGGACCGTATTAATAAAATTCAAATAAGTACCTAGTATGTTGCAGTCTTGTTTAACACCTTCTGTTTAACATTCTTGGAAGTGGTAAAAGTTCTGATTTAGTGTATGAGCTTACAATCGACTTAGAAATTAACTTGCCCACACGTAAAGCAAAAATTTTGAAATTTTTTCTTTCTAATTTGCATTCTATAGCAGGTAAAACTAATATAATTTAGAAAAGTGCCTTGACGTTAAAAATTACATATTCTAAAAATTTATTTAGTTCCTGGACAGAAGACCTTTTGGATGAAATTTAGGGAGAAATTTGAACTTGGATGACATTTCAAGCTGAAAAATGTGTTTTAAAAGAAGAAAACGACAGAACATAAATGGTGGAATGTCGTAACTTGGTAGTTAGTAGGCAAAAAGCCGCAAAAGGTGTTTTTTCCTTCCATTTAATGAACATACTTTTTTTTCGAAAGATTTCGTTACTTGACCTTCTTGGTATGGTTGGGGGGGGGGCGCAATCCGTTGTTGGCCGTACAAGTTATTGGTAGTCAAAAAACTCTTAAATGATTTTTTTACTTTTTGCATATTCTATAATCTCTAACATCTTAAGAGAATCGTAATTTTTGCTTTTCTTCAAAGAATTATTAAGAGAGTGTATTGTTACGCTATTTAAATCTCATTACATACTAATTTTGATAGATATCGACCAAACAGTTATTAAGCAATAATATATCAAAGATATAGTGCATTTGAATTTTGCATCGTTAGAAAATATTGACTAAAAACTTTTTATTTTGCAATTTAAAATTAAATTATAAAAAAAAAATTTGAAAATGCATCACCTTACAATTAAAGATATCGCTAATAAAGAAATTTAAGCAACGATTTAACCTTAATCCTAGCTAGGTTGTAAATACATCCTAGCTAGGTTGTAAATACATTTCTCAAAATGCTACATTATTTCAAAGGAGACATTTTTCTTGAAAGAGTGTGGTACCATATAAATTATTAGAAGATATAAGAACCACATAATTATAAAATCAAATTTCATGTCCCTATTAAAAATGGTAAAAATAAAATAAGTTGTAAGGAAAAGACATAATTTCATGAATTGCATTATCTTGATTGCATCCTCTGTTAATAACTCCTACATTAAACAGAATTTTTTTCAAATATTTTTTTAAATTTTTAATTTATTTTATATTTTTTTAAATTTTTTTATTTTATTTCCAATGTATACCTGTGTTAACAATTCAGGCTATTCACAGGGCAGATTTGTTGGCCACTGTTTCGGGGGCACCATATTAGGTAGGCCATCGGTACTCCCACAGTAAGGACAAATGGTATAGAGAATGAAAGAATATCCATGCTTTGCCTAGGATTCAACCGGGCAAGGCATGGAACCTTTCCGATGCAAGGCCAGTTCGCTGTCCCCCACACAGTCCAGTCGGCTTTAAAAAAGTATTCAATGAAACAAATTTCAATTTCTACGCATAGATTTTTTTTTTAATGAAATTAAGCCCCGACTAACTAAAGAAGAGTTACAATCTTTTCTGCACTGTTATATGCACCAGGAAAGTTTTTTTCGAGCGGGGGAGAATGAATAACTTATGAACGGAGACATGGTAGGAGTTAAAGACCCACAAATAAAGGAAGATGGAGGGCAGTGACAGAGTCCCTATGCTCCTATTGAGGTAAAAAGTATTTATGTATGAACTATTCATTTTATGAACTATTCAAGCGGTCTTAAAATAAAATACGTATATGAAGGGGAAAAAATATTCTACTTGATATTATTATTTTATTTCAACTTAGCGAAGGGCAGTTACCTGTTTGTCTACGATAGGTACTCTGTCCGCCATTCGTCTGGAGGGGTGGCGGTGGCTATGGTAACGAGGTATGATTATTTCAAGTAGGGGTGCGGGGTCCCTCTTTAAGACTGGTTTCGGTGGGAGAAAAGGAGACTTCTTTCTTCGATCTATTGTACTATTAGCCCTAGAGTTAAGAGAAATGAGCATTCGCACCTGAAACATCGTTTAGAGCGTTTGATTCCCTTTTTTTAATCTTTTCTCTTTTTCAAAAGCTTCTGTTTTAGAAAAAAAATTTATTTGTGTTGTAAATTTTTATTTTATTTTTCCTCTTTTGACTTTTTTGAATTTTGAGAAATGCCTTTTAAATTTAAAAAAGGTGAAGTTCTGAAATCACAAGCACGTAAAGTTGTGCACAATGTGTTTGAGTTTTTTGCTAATGAAGCTAAGGAAAAAGCCCTTAAATTACCTCTCCATCAACCATCTGATAGAGCATGTCTGGCTACTGGAGTGTCAGACTTCACACTCAGAAAAATAAAAAGAGAAGTTTCTTGTTTAGGAGAAGAAGGTGTGTTGCGCACTCCCGGAAAAAACAGGAAAAAGAAATCTGGTGGACTTGCTCATCTAGATGATTTTGACGAATGTGTTATTCGTCAAACCAGCCAAGAGTTTTATATAAGGGAAAAAAAAGTGCCATCGCTTCGAAAATTAATTCCTGTTCTTCGCGAACGAATTAATTTTGAATTTGAGAAAGATTCATTGAAGAAAGTTTTACATTCCTTAAACTTTCGATGGGAGCGGTGCACTCCCCAAAGAAAACTGCTTATCGAAAGGCCAAACATTGTTTTTTGGCGCAACAAATTTCTGAGAGAAATTCGTGAGCATCGGAGGATGCAGCGTCAACTAGTTTATTTGGATGAAACATGGGTTGACAGTAATTTAACATTCCAGAAATGCTGGCAAGACAAAAATAACAACATTGGTGTTATATCGAACGTCAGTTCGAAAAATAGACTTATCGTTGTTCACGCAGGATCGTCAAGTGGATTTATACCGGGAGCTTTGTTGGCCTATAAGGCATCTAGTCAGTCTGGTGACTACCACGGCCAAATGAATTTCGAAAATTTTCGAAAGTGGTTGATGGAGAAATTACTGCCAAACCTACAACCTAATAGTGTGGTAGTAATGGACTATGCTCCATATCACACTAAAATTGAGAACCCCACGACAATATTGATATCGTACCGATTTCAATTTTTGTTAAATTTGTATGTAAGGGGAACTAACTCCTACCCCCGGTTTACGGACTGAAAATAGGGCACTGGCAGGGCCTATAAATTTATCATACATAGTAAATTGGTTATAAGAAAAAAATAAATTTGCCAATAAAAACTGTTTTTAATAAATAGTGAAAAAAAACTGTACAGGTTACAATAAAATATGAATAAGAAAACGTAATTTAAGCAAAAAAAACTTCAGATAATTTCAGACGGTTTGATGGGTGCTGATAAAAATCATCGTTGATAGTTTTAGATTTCATCCTAGTTGCGGTCACTTGCTTTCAGTTTCAAAAAAAAATAAAAAAAAATAAATAAATAAAATATTTAAAAATTAATAATCAAAACAAAGATATTTAATATTTCTCCGGCACAGATAACGTGAACTATTTTTATTTTCAGCAAAAGTTTTATCTCCTTTTAAAATCAGAGTTATTAAGTTTAAGCTCTTCACTTTTTCCAGAAAATTCAAGTAATAAAAGAAATTAACTACTTTAAAAAATGTGCAAGTTTAGAAATTAAACCATCTAACAATCAATGAACATTCATAATAAATATCGTAAAATTAAAAAGTAATATTAAAAAAACCTGTACTACCCTTAATGTCAGAATTTGTTCACTTTTTTTCCCTTTGTATTTAAAAAATAACAACTGATAGAATCGAGAGAATTATTTTAAGAAAGAAATATTCATGCATCATCATCATCATCGAAATATAACTGGGCGCCTGGGGCCGTTAGCGGCCTTTTTCCCATTCATCTTGTATTTAATCTTTAAGGTGGTTCTTTCTGGTAATTGGAATAAAAGGAAATCAAATATTTTGTATTTTAGTTAAAATTATGTCACTACAAAAATGAGCTGCAATCGGCCTGAGGTTTATGTCTTCTCTTAAGTTTTCGAACGTAAAAATTTCGTTGAATCCTGCGGTGTCACAATATATGGTCTNAAAAGTTCTTGAATCAGATTAAATAAGTCTCCTACTGGTGGCTGAGTCAGCCAATCTGGTATACTCCCCATACAAGCTATCATCGAAGGCGAAAGAAAAGGAGACCTCTTCATCGAAGCCACCCTCCCTAAAATGCTCTCTTCTTGTTTCCATAGCACCAGACTGCCGCAGACTTTGTGGCGGACAGAGTACCTATCGTAGACAAACGTACGCATGAATTTAAAACAGTCTGCTAGACATGGTTGGAGTTAAAGAGCCACAAATAAAGGAAGATGGAGAGCAGTGACTGGAGTCCCTATGCTCCTATTGAGGTATTATGTAAGCATTTTATATTACACCTGGCGTCATATCTTTAAAAGTGAATCGTCCAATCAACAATCAATAGTTAGCTTTCATTAGACAGTAACGCCTACTTTCTCTTCTAGTCCTTACTCCGGAGAACGAAGAGTTTACATATGGTTATTACCGCCGTAAGTTAGATGGCGAGCAACGCAAATAAAATTTAATTTTATAAATTATAACGAAGTCTACAAGGTTAAAGTACTTAAAATTTTTTAAGAATCCATAGCATTTTGAGAAATATCCCCTTTTTAGGCATTTCCAAAGAAAAAGATACTAAGAAGATACTTGTAACTTGGCAATTATAGTGAGTTCTACGTTATCACTAAAATATGTTTTCCTTGTTGTCATTTATGAAATCTAATGGACATAAGTCTCTTAAAAATGGGACAGTTATGGATTTTCATTGAAAAATTAAAATTGTAATTATATTATTACGCTATTACCATATCTACCAGTAATCAACTATATTAAATTTTATATGTATTTAAGGATAGATTACTTATCGCTCAGAATGAAATCTCAAAATCAAAAAGTTAAAAAATTCTGCGCAATAGATGCGTGGATGGTAAGGTTAAGGCAAGGATAGACCCGCGGATAGAGTTTTAACTTGCGATCCGTGACGAATATAAACAATATTCACATACCTACCAACTTTTAATCCCTTCCATTATTATTTTTCCCAGTGGTATTAAAATGGAATTAATTTTAATCAAGCAAATACGTTGCATTTGAAAAAGCTTAAGTTGATAGTCATGATAGTACCGCATATTAATATATGTACTTAATTTTTAAAAGAATAGTGGTGATCAAAATCATTTAAAAATTAAGTTTATAAAAGAAAAAATAGTATATATTTAATACCACTTTAAATATGAAAATAAAATCTTCCGGAAGAGTTGGCAGGTATGTATTCATTATGCATCCATTTTCTTTTCTACTTTGCTTAAAACAATTTTTGTTCTTTCTTTCTTTAAAAAAAGTACTGTTGATCTTTTTACTTTCTCCATAAAACATGAATTGATGGAAATAGCTAGCAAAGATTGCTTCAATTGGTAAAATGTTAAAAGCAGAAGTTCTCTTTAGAATAGCCGAAAATTGGCGCTAACAAGCGTTTGTCTTTATGGAGGAGCAGGCATACTGAATCTAATGTAGGTGAATTGTACTTCACATGCAGCAGACTGCCCATTTTAAGCTCCAGCGAACAGATTTTTCTGCCAGGCCGAGTTCTTACATAATTTATTGCATATGGAAAGATTGCACGCATAAAATAGCTAATGCTTATATGAGTTATTTCTAAAATGTTTTAACCCCAAAATGGCTACTAAAAACGCAAAGTTGATTCAGAGTTCGATGCGTTCAATGATGAATGAACTTGGAAATATTTTTTTACAGTAGTAAAAGATAAACCAGCATGTCTTATCTGCAATGAAGCTGTAGCAATTTTTAAAGAATACAACATTAACCGACATTTTAAAGTCAAGCACAAGAATGTAAACTACGAAGCAATGTCTGAATGTGAAAGAAGACAAAATGCAAAAAGAATTATGAGACCGACAAAATTTTTTCAAGAAGATAAGCAGTCCAAGAAGCAGCTACGAATGAAAGTTACATTGTAGCATGCAATATTGCTAAAAATAATACATCTTTCTGTGATGACGAGTTTGTTAAACAATGTATACTCCAAATTTGTGATGTTTTATGTCCAGATATGAAAAATAATTTTGAAGCTGTAAGCGTATCGTGTAAAAACGGTGACTTTTAGAATCGAAGCCATCGATTAAAGTTTGACATCACAATTAGAATCAAAGATTGCACAACTTATATTTTGCTCAATAGCTATGGATAAAAGCACTTATTTAAATCATACTGCTCAATCAGTGTTATTTATAAAAGCTGCTGATGAGAACTTACCGAGGAACTGGGCATGCGTTTTTTAGGGGGAACTACAATGGAATGTGATATTTTTCGTGAGTTTCGGGAAAGAGTTTTAAATTTGAAAGTGTTTGCATTTTTCACAGATCTTTTTTGTCATATGAACAACTTCAGATGCGAGGGAAAAGTCAATTGATCTATGAATTCTGGACCCATCTCAAAGCTTTTAAACTGAAGCTTAATTTGTTTGCCAGGCAGCTAACTAAAAACGACTTGTCTCACTTCTCGAGTTTAAAATCAATAACCTAAGTAAATAAGCAAAAGCATAAGAATTATGAATATGACTTGAAAAAACACCATTTTGAATTTCAATTTAACGATTTCAGTGCCATAAACAGAATTAGATGTTTTCACTGCCTTTCAACGTAAATTGTGAAACAGTGAGGTTGGATTTGCAGCTTTGAATTAATTGAGTTGCATTCTTATAATCATCTGAAGCAGTTGTTTCTAAATATGCCGAGGTTCGAGTTTTACAAATCATTACCAAAAGCTAGTTTATATATATATGTGAACAAGTGTTTTCAACTATGAACCTTAGGAAAAATAATTTCAGATGTAGACAAGCTGTAGTTCAGATGTAGTTTCAAGTAATCAGACAAGCATTTAGCCTTAAAATAAATACACCTCGCTTCGAATCTCAATATAAGGAACTTTTAAAAATGAAATTGCAATTTTATTTATCTTATAAAATAATTAAATTAAAACTCGTATATTGTTTCTTTATTTTAGAAATTTTTACTTAGTCCAACAAACTTTTCTTTTTCGATATTTGGCCCTCGACCAAAAACGTTCGCCCTTCCCTGGGTTAAGGGATGATACTCAGAGCTGTTGAAATTTAATGCATTTTGGTAAACCATTTTTAATGAATATATGTGAAAATCTTGTGATTTTGTGATACTTTCGCTATTTAGTTATAAAATTAGAATGATAACAGCGATGATTGCCACGAAGCTCTTCAATGAATAAAAAAAAAATTATGGTAATGGTAGTTATTATTTTTTAGACTCTGATAATTTCATTTAAGTTGTGAAACCAGCCTGACGTGCGCAATAAAATTTTGCTTTTCTGAAAAGTATTAAACTACCATTATAAATGATAGTCACTTGTCTCCGAGAACTCTACTATCAAAAACGGAATAAAACCAATATTAGATATAAAAGTGTTTGTATTTTAGCCGTACAAGTCTATATATATATATCATACCTGCCAACTTTCACTCTTTCCGAGAATGGATTTTCAGAGTGGTTGTAACACAATAAACGAAAAACAATCTGACACAAAAATATATTTATATTTTGATCCCGTTGAACTTCGCTTGCGCTATGGATTATTATGCTTTGATATATTTATTGTAATTATTTATATGTAGTGGTGGTCAAACTCATTTATAATTATCATTACAATTCAAAAAGGTAATTGGAATAACCTGAGTATTGCTACCACTTTAAATATGAAAATAAAATCTTCCGGATAATCCGGAAGAGTTGGCAGGTATGATATATATATATCGACAGGACGATTCCATAATACAAACGGACTTAGAAAATTTAGAAAGAAAGGGGAAAATGAACTCGAATATATATATATGAAATGAATATATATATATATATATATATATAAATTAA